ATTGTATTTTCATCCGAAGCAAAAATAATACTGTGAGCGGACATTATATATTTTCAATATAAGATCACCAAACAGAAAAATAGTCAATTTAATAGGCAGAATGAACATAAGAAGTAATTCTGGCCTTGTAATTTGCCATATTTATGTATATTCAAATTTTGCCTTCAAATAATGCCAGATATCTGACATATCCTCTTCTAAGTTTACATTAATCGCTATCACTTCATTTTCAGCCCTTTGCAATATTTCATGATCATACATTTAAATCAACCACTTAGACAGGTTTGTGCATTCTCAATTTAAGGTATGAGTAACGTTAACCATATCAGCTTTGAGTTAAGCATAGATGTCCGTTTTTAATCAGTATTTGGCAATCAATACAGCTATTTTCACCAACAATTCGGTATCAGCGCCTTAAATTTTAAAATTATTTTTTTAAGGTTTGCGCGACTATAACATGTTAAAATCTGTCTTTAAATCTGTTCTTCAATCAGCACTAAGAAACACAAAATGAAGGGTATTTAAGAGAAGAGGTAAAATTCCATTTCAAGCGAATGTATAGCATGCATTAATAAATATTAATACTTGCTACTCGATCATAAATTTCGGAAGTGGATAATGGTACTTTATAGTTAACTAAATTAATACATTTGTACGCATATTTTGGTTTTAGACAGCTAACATAATAATAATACAAATGTAATTATGAATTTAGAATTACCTAAATATATCAACAGATTGTGCATTTAATTCTTTTGAGAATTTTATAGGAATAGCTACAATCATTGGGTTTTCCTTTCGCTTATATCATTTTATACTGTATTTTTAAGGCCTAACTAGCGTGTACAACTGAGTTTCTATTAATCTCTTGAGATAACCTTGTTGGGGAGTCCTTTATTTCATATGAAAGTGCATAAGAAGGAGATTTTTAGGTTGATCACACCAGAATATGACAACTTAATCGCGTTTTACTGCAGCCGTTTTGCTTCAATACTGTGTTCAGTCCATAAAACTTCTTCCCTCACTCTGGGTGAAAACGGAATGAGCATTGATCGATCATATGATGGAAATTATCAATCTAATCTTCTTGAGTTAGTGTCAAATTAAGTTTACCCTCTGATGATGTTTGGCATATGATACATAAATGCTCAGCCCGTTTTCATCCGAAGCGATAGAAGATGTCTCTTGGACTTTTTCAACCTGAACATCGTATTAGAGCCAAACGGCTGCAGCACAACGGGATTCAGTCGTCGTCTTCTGGTAAAATCAACAAACAATAAGTTTTTCATGCATTTTCATACGAAATGAAGGTCCTTCCACCAATTATAAAATATACTCGGACAGAAGAAAAGTAGGCCAAGATAAAACAGTGAACATTCAGCTGAAATCAGGCAGCCATTTATTCATTTACGTATTTTAGATAAGGTTCGATGTAATAAAAGATTGAGAATAGTGTAAAATTGGTCTAATAATCTTGCCTGCTTTAGAAGTTGTAGATAAATTACATATATGAATTTCGCAACCTGCTGTATTATAGATATGAAGACCAAGATGGTGTGGCCTTTAGTGTGGTCGCAGTCTCCTTTCGTTGAATAGAAGTTGTT